CACAACCAGGCGATGGCAAAGATGGAATTGGCTGCAAGGCATAACATGCGCCTACAACAACGCCTGATGCGCACGGGTACGTCCGCATTAATCGTGCTCACTTGTTTTGTTCGGATTTACAAACACGCCTTCCTTCAGTCGTGATGCTACACTTGCAGTATCCCGACGAAGAAGAAGCCGCAATCATCGTGGCAACTCATCAGTTACCAGATCAATCGATCATCCAATGCACAACACGGTCAAGTTTACTAATCTTGCGCATACCCACAACCAAACTCGCTCCTCCAATCCAATGAAGAACTGAACAAGCAGCGTTGTTGTATCAAGCTATTTTCAGTTGATTGATAGCTGGGGGGCAAATACTAACGCGTCTGAGAAGTGAACATCGCGCAGAACAAATATCAAATTACTCTCTTGACCCAAACTAGGATAAACGTAGAGCTACTATATGTGACTCTATTGCTTTTTTTCTTATATTACAACGTCGCAGGTTATACGACAGGGACAGCTTCCTAAGGTCCGCAAGGCCCCTAATCTGAGGCGGCCGGGTAGAGAAAGAGATCAAGAGTGTAGAGGATCCGAGGAGGCATGCAGAACTTCGTGAAGACAAGGAGCAGCTTCGCACAAAAGAGGAGCAGCTTCGCAAAGACAAGAAGCAGCCAGAGTCAGATGCTGGGCTTGATCGCGTCGGCTTGTGCAATGACAAGAAATACTTCCGTGTAGATACCTCTTACTTGATGGTGGTCGGCGATGGGAACAGCAGACAAGAGCGTCTGCTCTATTGCCGAGAAGCCTTCTTGAAGCAGCATACTTTCCTGAGAGAGCGGGTGCTTGACCGAGGGCACTGACGGCGACGTTATCCTTCTTGTCAGGCTGAATGCTGTAGCAGACGGCTTTTGTGTTCAGGTCGCAGGTAGTGAGGCCGACAGACCGTCCAAGGCTGCCGTTTCCTTGTTTGGCGAGGCTTTCACTTTGCTCCGAGCCAGGTCCGGTCACTGGGCACCGCAGCCCGTTATGGAGTACACTGATCAAAGATTTAAGTTAGGAGTGAGATGCCGCGTCACCTGCAAGGCGTTCCTGGCACTAGGCCGATGGCACGGGTTAATCCTGGATTTCAGCGTGTCACACGTATTTGACAAGGATGGGATTAGCCCGAATACTGCGGCAACGAGAAAACTCTTGGAGGGATTGAGCAGTGTTTCCTCGTTGTACACCGAGATGCCTTGCTATATCAAGCCATGTCATCAAAGAAGTGTGGTGGCTGGCGGAGCGCCCAGCACCATTCTGAAATGAAAAGATCCTTGCAGTGTGGGAGGCGTGAAAGAGCGCCTCCGGGACCCTCCATGAGTCGTCTTGTATCTCTCTGTTTTTGTATCAATGAAATCTCAAAGCATTACTCTACTCTGCTTGGACTCCTCCTCAGTTCAAAGGTGGAAACGCAACCTTCGCCTTCTTCTTCTCCTCGCCTTTCTTCCATCCATATCCCTCCAGCGCCCCACAGTCTTCGACAGGGCTTATCCGGAACACCGGCATCCTCTGATTCGGGATGAGGAAGATGATCTCCACCTTCCATGCACGACCTGGAGGAATGCCGAGGGCCGTGAGAGCATCCAGGAAGAAAGAAAGCTTCAGAGCATGCTTCTCTCTCACGGTTACCTGAACAAACACTGCCTTCTTGGCATTCTTGTCTACGATCAATGCATCGTATCCTCCCTGAAGCTCGCTGATCGGCCTAAAGCATACTGCAGTGCGAGGGAGAGAATGATTGCCTTGCAGCGGATCAAAGAACACGACGCTATGTCCTTTCCAAGGCCGAGCCTCACGTGGTCTGTTATGTGATCTGCGGTAAGTCAATCTCAAGCCCCGTTGCACCTCCTTGAAAAAGATCATCTCGAATAAGCATCCCTTCACTGCCGCATTGGATATGCTGTATTTGGAAAAAACTCTCTTCAACTCCTCTGCTTCAATTTCGTGCATAAGCTTCCAGGAAATATACTCGCTTGCTGGCAACCACCTTACCTCACCGTCGATCGCGAAAGTTGCTATCAAGCGATTGACCAACTGCGTCGAAGAAGCGCCTATGTTGCCCCTGAAGATAAGCTCCAGATCTGGAACACTCCGAAACGCTTGATGGATAAACTTAACCACATCGTACGCGCTCATTTCGAACATGTGCCGACACGACCCACCAGCGAGGTAATGCTTCTGCCTGACCCGCGCTTCTTTCGACCTACCCAACTGCATCTTCTTGATACCCAATCTGCTCAGATCCAGCAGACCCAGATCCATCTCCAACATGGATTCTACTTCCTCATAAAACTCGTCTGACTGCACTGCCTGCAAGTATTCATCAATGGTCCAGGAGACGACGAGATGCTCTTCCAACTGCAGCAGCTTATCCTCGTGATAGTAAATTTTGTCCCTAGAAGCCATGGATGTCACCACCACCAACCGTCGATTGCTTCTGTCGATGTCACGCCACCTTCTGCATGCATCAAAGGCTTCCCAATGATTTGGTTGGTGTCCTAAGAACCCATCCAGTACAACGAAACGCCTGTTGCCGTTGGACCATTCTCTGAGCAACGTCTCCACCAGCTTCCCGGCAGTTATCCTCTCGATTACGCATGTTCGTCTCGTACTACCTGCGACCTGAACACAAAAGCCGTCTGCTACAGCATTCAGCCTGATGAATGTCACACTCCATTCGTTCATGTCCAGCATCAACAAGAAGGATAACGTCGCCGTCGTCTTTCCTGTCCCTGGCGAGCCCATTATCCACCCAAGGGCACCCCTGTCCAGCACCCGCTCTCTCAGGAAAGTATGCTGCTTCAAGAAGGCTTCTCGGCAATAGAGCAGACGCTCTTGTCGGCTGTTCCCATCGCCGATCACCATCAAGTAAGAGGTATCTACACGGAAGTATTTCTTGTCATTGCACAAGCCGACGCGATCAAGCCCAGCATCTGACTCTGTCCAAGCAATGCTCGCTCCCGACAAGGGACTCTTCTGAAGGCTGCCCTCTCTGAATAAAAGCAGCTGTCGAAGCTGCTCCTCTTTCTTGCGAAGCTGCTCCTCCTTCTTGCGAAGCTGCTCCTCCTTCTTGCGAAGCTGCTCCTTGTCTTCACGAAGTTCTGCATGCCTCCTCGGATCCTGTTGCCCTACACTCTTGATCTCTTTCTCTACAACCTGAATATCGTTCTCTACACTCTTGATCTCTTTCTCTACACTCTTGATCTCTTTCTTTACACTCTTGATCTCCTTCTGTAACCCCTTGATCTCTTTCTCTACCCCCTTTTCGGAGCTCTCATCTCCTCCGCGCAGAGTGAGACATTCTCGGACATTACCAATATTCCGTAGGTCACTCTCAGGGTTGTCTAGCAAAGTTTGTGCAGACCTTGTTTGGAATCCTCCGCTCAAACATGTCAAAGGTGTCAAAGATCTAGCAACCTCGAAGGCCCCACAAAAGCTTCCGTCCAGCTCCCTCCCATCAGCGAACTGCACGTTTGCCGGTCTCTTGAAGCATGCGAAGAGGACAAGCAAACCACGCATGGCAGGTACCGGCACAGCGGAGGCAGGCGCCATCTCATCGGTCTTTACTCAAAGTTAAGTTAAAAATCAGTACGACGACAATCAATTTTAGAGCTGCGCGTCCGATCTCAGGCCCAGTTCCCGGGCCTTCCTGAGCCTTCAAGCCGCTGATCACGGTTCATCAGTGAGGCCAGTTTTTCCGCCGGGAAGGCCCTTACCTCTTGTAGTAGCACCACCCCACTGGGTTGGAAGGATCGGACTGAATTAACGGTTTGAGAGCAAAGTGTCGGGCCGTACTTTCCGAGTTCTCAGGCTGCTAGCCAGTCTGATTCTTCTGTGATTCCGGGCACTAATGTCAAATTCTTTGTTGCCTTGTCTGTTCAACGGTTCGACCAGGGCCCGGAATCTCCTCGATCCAGTCAAAGAAACCGTTCAACGGTTTTCTATTTCCTATGTGAATAATCAAATATATTCTCTGTAACATTCTTTCAAGTTCTAGATCGGAATTATGTGTTAGCTTTTTAGGGATCTCTTTTATTGCATTCACTCCTTTTTCAAATATCTTTTTGAAAGGTATAACACCACCTTTCTGTTTAGGTTTTATTTTAGGCTCTAGTGTTATGTTAGGATTTCTTATCCTATCAAGTATTTAGCCAATAATACTTCAAACCTAGGTCGAAATTTGGTTGAGTATAACTCTTTGCTTTGAAGAGTTTGAATAGTTCATCAGATAAACCATCATATTTAATGCCATTGATTTCGATATTGTTATAGCTAGAGTTATAATGTTCCATTATTGGATATACTATGTGTGGATTTATGAAGGCAGATATGATCCATACATATTCAGTTTTGTCAAATATATCATATACTGTCTTTTTGTTTGTATTGTATAAGATTGAAGCTATCTTCTTTAAGCTTCCCATTATATTTGCAGCTGGATACATTCTATCTATTTTGATAAGAACTTGATATGTAAATACAACCATAACCTTCATAAAATCGTCATCCAGATACATCATTCGCTTAGAAATTAAATTCATTGACAGAAAATGGAAATGCAAACCGGAGCAAACAAGGAGGAAAAGGAGAAAACCTACAAACCCGCCTCAAGAAAACACCAGGAAACGGATACACTTGGTGTGTTTCATGATGCATACGAGGAGGGAGAGCAGGGAGAAGACCAGCCCGGACACGATCCCCTGCAGTATGTTCTTCAAGTTGTCGTCGCGATGGTTGTGCGGCGCCTCCTTGCAGAAGAGGATGAATGCCAGTATGCTCGCCGTCTCCACCCGCTTGTCTTGCATGCAGGAGGATATGAAGATGACGACCGCCGCTCCGTTGAAGAGCGGGGTGCACGGTGAGGAGGAAGAGCGATATCTGGCGGAAGGATGCCCCTGTGACCTGTTGTACGGTGTCCCATCCCATGAACACCACCGTGTTCGATGAATATCGTCATCCTGACTCTCAGCAGCATGCTGCGGGTCATGGAATCGTTGAATATGCAGGGCACGATGGGTTACCACGCGATCAACACGCTTTCTACCTGCAACGTGAGGGATCGGTTGTATCATGCGATCAACGAGGAGCGTTTCATGAGAGCCAAGCTGTTCACGGATGCTACCTACCTCCCCAGCCTGAAGACGGTGGGGGAACTGTTGCCCTCCTTCCGCCGTCTGAGGCCCACTACGGATCTGAGCAATACGAACAGCATAAGGACGCATCTCTCCAAGATGCTGAACGTCTCAGTGCAGCCACTACACGATCGACTTTGTCTTTAAGCAGACCCCCGTTCTCGACCGCCTGCGCAGTCGCCTGGATGAGGTGCTCCGCCTCTGTGACAATATGATGTGCAGAGATTACGTCAACGAGATCCGGCATGTATTCTATGTGAAGAATCTCCTGTTCCACGAGATCTTCACCAATTTCTATCTGGACAGGGTGCAGAATGGGCTGGACAATATGGTCTTTGACACATTCCAAGGGAGGGGTACGGCCAACGTCTACGTCAACCTCGTGTTTGACAGGGAGAAATTCGAGAAGCTGAGGGAGAACGGCGTGTCTCTCTATGCCACCAGGGCTGACTACAAGAACTTCCTGGCGAAGTTTGTCATCTTCAGGATGATGAGCGATTTCCCTGACGACGTCATGTTCAGCACGACGAAGGCGACGAAGAAGGCGAAGGGCGCCGCCTTGTAGATCACGATGCGGTCCACGCGTGGGGCCATCATCTTTGTGCAGATGTCGTCCGGCACCTGCTTGAGGGTGCAGGTGAAGAGGAGGAAGGAGACCATCGATGAGGCTATGCACACGTAGGAGAATACAGAGAAGCAATTGCTCACAGACTTCAGCGGGTCGTGGTCCGGCTCATGCATGGCGCGATGGATGACGTTGATCGTTGCAGGGGCTTGCTGGATGATCATCCCTGTGATCAGAGCGATCGCGCTCAGGGTGTTGGTCACCAGGATAACTTGATTACTCTACTCATTCAAGGACTGGACTCGAGATGTAGTTCAGCAGTGGCTGGCAGAACTGATGAGATTGTGAATGCCGAGACACTCACTGATGCAATGGATTTGATTGCAGACTTAATTCTGAACCTCTGGAGTTGCAAGTTAATACCATTCTTGGCAGTACACAAAACCAGACTGTGCTCCCAACTCGTAGACAGAGAGCTGACATATTCTCTGTCACAGCAAGGCTTCCTTTTCTTCCTGAGTCAGATCTATCAGGATTTTTCTCGCCAGACTTCATGGTGAATCTACTTTCAGCCGCCCGACTAGTGGAAAGTGGTTACTTTGTTATTCTCACCTGACTAGGGACTCTACCATGTCTGGTCTCAGGGGGGCGACGGATCACATGGATCTTATATAGAGCCCAGACTTGCCGAGCCCAAACACTGAGAAATTGTAACTGTTCTGGAACGGTACGGTACTCCATTCAGACTATTCGATGGAATGACCAGAGGAAGCATCCTCGGGGCGGACAATACCCCTGGTTATCTGTATATAAGCAGGGGGTCTTGTCTTCTTCTCTCTCTCTTCCCCTCTCTTCTCTCTCTCTCTTCCCCTCTCTTCTCTCTCTTTCTTTTCTCCTCATTATCTCTCTCTTCTCTCTTCCTTTCTCACTATCTCTTAATCTTTTCTTTCTCCTATCCTCTCAGTCTCTGTTATCTTCCTATCCTTACTCTGCTTATAAATACTCTTATCTCAGAAGTCAATCACCTACCTGCTCTAACTTCGCTACTGCATACAATCCATCAAGACGTGTAATGTGGCCCGGGTCGTGATGGGGACGTTCTTGCTGTAGCCAGAATCGCGCAGCTGCTTAGATCAAAGTCAAGCGCCCCGCCGGGGCGCTTGACGCAGGCTCTCCCGGTCCGGGATCGCGAGGGCCTGCGAGGGCGACGCCGCGCCCTTCGTCGCCTTCCGAGTCCCGCGACGGGCGGGTGGTGGCGCTGTACGCGAAGGGGGGCATGCGGGTGCTGCCCGGGGCGTTCAGGGAGGAGGACCGCGGGATCGCCGGGGCGTGCGCGCAGGGCGGGGGGCTGAGGGGCACGGTGGGGCCTGCCAGGCCGACCCCGAGCTCGGCCGCTTTGTAAGAATGATGCCGGATGCGATGCACAGAGTGGCACAGGTATCATTTGAATCAAGTACATGTTTAGGATATTGTGTAGCTTATTGATGATAATCATCTTTGCGACCGTTTGATCTGAAATAAAGTCTATTCACGGTCACTGTGGCGGCCTTGGCGTACGGTACCGTAGCGGCTCAACGGTTCCGGCGCCAGGTCCGATTCCGGCGCCGGAACGGGAGACAGCGTGCGGTCAGTGCCGAGCGCCAGTCGCACAGTCACCGGTTGCCATCGTGTCGGAACATAGGCTGCGAGCACGCTGGCAACTTTGCGGCGAGCGGCTGAGATTAGTGAACCGTCAGAAAGTTCTCAAACGAGGAAGCGCCCACGGCTGTGCAAGAATCGCAGACAGCATCCGAAGTTGTTGCTCTTTAGTGGATGCAATCAGGCTTCTGGAACTTCGGAACCGAGATGCAGCATGGTGGTCGGCCCTGGGGTAGCCGCTGGAAGGGCTTTGGCTGACTCATCGTTTTAGCTAGTTTCCAATCACGGTTTCAGACTCTGTGACGAGTCAATCATGCGTTGTTCCGAGGCATGGAGGGATAGGTCACGATTCTTGCAGACCTCAGGATGAAGCAGCCTACTAGGAGGGTGATGAAGGGAGAGAAAGTTTTGAGATCTCCCGGCAGCGACATCACGTCCAAGCATCGACTTTGCTCAATCTTCAGCCAAAGGCGGATTACTTCGTTTGGCATGCGAGCAAGCACAGAGGAGGAGACGAGTGCTGGACTAATAGACAAACGACACGAGGTACAAGTGAACCTGCTTACTGTGTCATCAACTTGCTCCATTCAAGTGGCCGTGGACTCGTCAGTGGGATGCAGGTTCAGAGATCACAAGTATCGTTTGCACATCTTTTTATGGAGCCATACTAAGTCTGTGCTACATCTGGTGTGGAGTGAAGCACTAGTATAGAAAAGCAAAAGCAAAAGAAGCATCTGCATATTCATGGAGTTCCTTGCAGTTAAAAGGCAACCGTTGCATTGCACCGTGATTGCAAGTTTAGCCCTTCTTGTTGCCGACGTCCACATACTTCTTCAGGTACAAGTTCTTTTTGAAAACCTCGTACATGGCATCTGCAACATCCACGTCTATGGACTTGTAATTCCAGCCTGTCGACTCTGCGGTTTAGGACTCCGCCATGACGTATTTGCCGCCCTTCCCTTTCTTGAACTCGAACGGGCGGAGGATCGTGAAGTCCACAGTGCCCCTGTATTCTTTTCGAAGCCACGTCTCAAACACCTCGTTGTCTGCATAGATGTTCAAGTGTTGAGGATGCATGGCTGCACAAACCTTCGGAAAAACCAACCGGCGTTGGGGTGGTCGTGGCAAGAGTGTCGTCGACCTTGAGCGGCGATATTGCCCGAGGCTGCTCAATCACAACAGCTGGCTGAAGTTCTTGTCTTGCATCATAATTCTGCATATCATTGGGAGAATCAGATTCTTCAGGAGACATGCTGTTCATCACAAGGCTGCCCGTGCAGCCTACACAGGAGACATGGCCTAGTAGATTCATCATCCTCGTTTTATGGCTCATTGGTGTCCTCGGTAGATTCCTCTAAATTTTGCTCTCCCGCACTAGTCTACCCTCCTGCTGAAAAGCCGTGCAAGCTCTCCGAAAAATCTCTTCTCCTCTTCAGCTGCAGCTGATTCATGTCACTCATGGAGATCCGCCCTCGCTTAATCAGGTTCGAGTCCCTCTGCACCAACTCTGCTACCGCGGATTCGACCGCCTTATCCTTGCCGACGGATGCAACATCCAATACCTTCATAGACAGCCTCTCAACCAGATACGGTGGCGGACAGTTGGCGCTTGTAGTAATTGGAAAGATCCATTTTATCCCGTTCCAACTGCTGCAGCTGCAGCTGCTTTCATGCTCCATGAGTCCTTTCGCAGAAGGTTCTAGAATCTGGGGAGTTACTGGAGCATGCATATCGCCACGTCAAACGCTTTCCGACTCTCCGAGGTTCCTCCCCCAGCACCTGGCATGCCTCCTCCAAATATGCGGAAGCGCGATCAGGAGAAGCACCTGTGGCCAAGATTCGTACTCGCGCACGGGCAGCTGAGCAGCTTGCAAGTACTCTGCTTTGGAACCTAGGATCCAAACCCATCCTCATAGACCAGCTGGCCTCGGAAGCTGAGTTCACGTCGATGACGGGACCCAGATATGACAGGACCCAGGCATCACAAGGGGCAAAGAGACTTGCAGACGAAGAAAGGGCCAGGCCTAGAATGAAACATCTTGTACGATTCATCTCAACGGTCTCTCAAATCGCAATGGCGATCTGTCCGCGACAAACTGTTTCGAGGATGAATATCTCAAGAATGAAAATCTGTACATTGCAAAACAAACATTTTATATTCAGAGATACATACAAATTGTCATTCTCTATACTTGTTCGCTTTGTACACGTCTTAACTTTTGACATTTTGTCCTTTCTATCTCTTCTTCCGTAGACCTACAACCAGACACAGTTCGTTGTCCCTGAAATCTAGGCATTTGTCCTGTGAATCCTCCTCGTGTATCCAAAGATTGAGATGTATAAGTTTACGAGATCTAGGTTGGGACCTGCACTCATTCTTTTTGTCCCGTGTTCCTTCTTCTGCGTTGAAAAGCTTCTTCTCCCCGCGTTGTTTCCAAGAATGATTCGCTTTTTTGGTGGTCATACACAAAATGCAGATTGTAATCGAATTTTTTTGAGAGCTCAGTGCATGCTTTGTTGAATATCCTCAAGAAATCTTTCTTGTTCAAATGACCTATCAAAGGCCAGAGGTTTTCAACGCTGTCTGTGCACAGCGTCCGTGCATTGAAGTCATACTCCTGTTCACCCAACACACCTGATGACAACCCCCTCATGTGCTTCTTGCCCACACTCATCCAATCCACATCTCTTAGAAGCCAGGTTCGAGCCCTAAGAATGAGATTTCTTCTTTCAGACTTGGTGAGGATGTGAAGGCCGTTCATTGCTTCTGCCATTCTTGCTGTTCCAATGTGTCCCTCTGCATTCAGAAGCGATATGGCCTTGCTGCTGAACATTTTTGACATGATATCCATTGATTGAGGGTCCGTGCACCCATCGACTTCCAGCTGCGTTAGCCATGACGAATTCTTCTTGGAAATATCAGTGTACGCAGCATGCCCTTGTTTAGCCTCTTGCTGTGCAGTCGGGTGTCTCCCCGAGCCAACCGTGTGCCTGACATTCTTCAGTAAATGATTGATACATGGCGCAAAGAAAAGTAGCTTCTTTGTTGTTGGAGAGATAACTGAGGGTTTGACAAGTACTCGTTGAATTGAAACCTACTCTTGTTTGGATCAAATTCTCCCAATCCATCTGTAATCAATCGTTCTGTTCTGGTCTTGGCTAATATGTTCAGGCCTTACATACCTGCATGGTGGCATGTCAGTACTCTGGTGCATTCCAGCTCGCTGGTTACCTTAAGTGATGATCGTGTATTTGCTCTTGTAGCTCACCAACAGTGTCATAGTGCGAGGTGGCCCAATGTCTGATTTTCTTACAAAATGACTTGTGCTTTTGCCGATGATTCTTTGCTTGACTTCGAAGCTTTTGCGCGTCTATGTGCAGCTGGAATTTATCATGATGCATTTTAGCATCTGCTCCATGTCGAAACGAGGTGAAGTAATGATGGAAACAATTTTTGAAGCCCTCTGCATTCTGTCCAAAGAGGTCACCTAGAAGCGTAAACTTTGCTCGTACATGAGAAGTGTTGATGGTATGCTGGCTCAGCTTGAGATAACTAGCCGCTACTTGTAGCAAGCTATCATCGGTGTCGCTTATCTTCAACGTTTCGTGCCCGATGTTTTGCAGAAAATGTAACAATTTCAGCACCATTGCGTCAGTGAACACTGCATAATTCTGTACAGTTTTCAAGTCGATGTCTTTGAAAGCCCGTCGACAATATGAACAGGCTTTGATGCAGTGTCGAATGCTTTCCAGAATTACGAAGATATGTTTCCAGAGTTACGAAGCGTAGTGTTGAGCCAGAGATCGGACAGTGACAGGAGAATCAGGGTGAAGAAAGAGAGATGACTAGAATGTGTATTTGCAAGAAAAGTCATACTAATTCTAGGTTCAAACATGTTTACTGAAGTATGATTGCTTCAACAGATTCAATTCCAGGTACTCAGCACCACTGAAATATTGAAATGATGGGAGTGTCCAATTAGATAAGCTCAACACCCATCACCCTGATAGATCTTCGCTCCTTTCCTTTCGCAAAACCATATTGCTCAAGAGATCCTTGACCAAAGACCTTCGAAACTTTGAAACACTCTAGATCCTTACGGAGCACGATGAAACAAATTTCTATTCGTTGAACCGGAAATCCTACTAAAACAAGATTGTCAATGAGTTCCTTGAAATATTGTAGTTTCAGATCATCATCTTTTGCTGCGGTTACTTGTACAAACCGTACTAATTTCCTGCTTCTACTAAGAAACACCCCATCATATCCTGGATGGTTGAAATCAGGTGGTCGCACCCAAAAGTCGCAGCTCTGACTCTCCACCACTCCTTTCGTAAGAGGTATCAAGCAAGTCACGACAGGGGCAGCCTGCCAAGCTTCTTGCGCGTCTTCACCTCGCACGTGCAATGCCAAACCTTGGTGATGTACCACCATGAAGAACAAATCTTCAAGCATGAGTCCTTTGGCAACTGGATGATACATTGTGCAGAAATGCACCAAAGACCGTGTAAATTGTTCACACCCTGTTTGAACGCAAATCTTCTCTGTAAGATACCTGCTTAAGAATACAGTATATTCTGACTTGTCTTGATCCTTGTATATCGAAAAGAGTCGATTGATTGCAGCCCCACTGTACTGCCCTATCTTTGTGGAGAGTGTTTCAAGAAATCCCACGTTTTTGATAGTGTTAGAAACGTCGTCGATAATCTGTTGACTACTCATCTGAAACATGTATCTTGATGATCCTCCTGCATAATAATACTTGGACAGTATTCGATCTTCTCGGCTCAGATTGCTCGAAAATGACCGTTGAGCAACCGATCCTCGAGACAAGTTTGCATCTAATTTCCTTTCAACAGAAGAGTAGAACAGGTCGTCCATCACTGCCTCTTGATACTCTTCCAGTCTCCATGACTCAAGGAGAAATACCTCCACGCCCCAAACCTGATCATCTTCCCACTTCACCTTGTACCTGGTCTGCATCGATGAAATAAAGAGCACTCTTCTATTCTCTTTCTTTTTTTCACGCCATCTCATCAACATATGCTGCAACATTTTGTGCGAGTCTTGCAGGAAACCATCCAGTACGAATACATGCTGAGAATCATCATCCACACCATTCAGAAGAGCATACAGAAAGTCATCATTTGTCGTCTGCAATTCAGCTTCATATACAGTTTTCCTTGCAGCGATCCACTGAACAGCCTTTGCAGGATAAGGAGAGATATGCATCCAACTCACCCCCCAGACCTCCCTGTCAATGGAGAGTGCGAATGCAAGGCCTGTAAGAGACTTTCCCGTCCCTGGTGCCCCCAACACCCAGCCCAAACTTCCTGCTTGCATGACTCTTTTTTGCATGAAGTCCATCTGCTCCCGAAGTCCCTTTCTGCAGAAAATTCTCATGCCCTTCTCCTTTACATCCTCGTCCTCAAATGCTCGTAACCCAGACTCCTTCCCACTGTCTGCCGATATATCCAAAAACAACTTCGTTTCATCGTACACAAAACGATCCTCCATTGCATCAATCACGGAAGTCGACTTCATTATTTCTCCTGTCTGTAAGCGACCTCCAGCCATATAATTGTGAATCAAGAATTTCTGCTCGAGCTCCTTCTTCTCCACTTTGAGCTCGCGCTCCTTGGTCTCAACCGCATTCTTCAGCTCGCTCTCCTTCGTCTCAAGTTGTGTAGTCAGCCTTCGCTTCTGCTCCTGGTTTTTGCAGCTCTCGATCTTCTGCTTGAGCTCCTTCTTCTCAACCGCATACTTCTGCTCGAGCTCCATCTTCTCAACCGCATACTTCTGCTCGAGCTCCTTCTTCTCAACCGCATACTTCTGCATCTGCTCCTGGTTTTTGCAGCTCTCGATCTTCTGCTCGAGCTCCTTCTTCTCAACCGCATACTTCTGCTCGCGCTCCTTCTTCTCAACCGCATACTTCTGCTCGCGCTCCATCTTCTCAACCGCATACTTCTGCTCGAGCTCCTTCTTCTCAACCGCATACTTCTGCATCTGCTCCTGGTTTTTGCAGCTCTCGATCTTCTGCTCGAGCTCCTTCTTCTCAACCGCATACTTCTGCTCGCGCTCCTTCTTCTCAACCGCATACTTCTGCTCGAGCTCCTTCTTCTCAACCGCATACTTCTGCTCGAGCTCCTTCTTCTCAACCGCATTCTTCAGCTCGAGCTCCTTCTTCTCAAGTTGTGTAGTCAGCCATTGCATCTGCTCCTTGCCTTTGCAGCTCTTGATCATATCATGAGTTTGTGAGACAGACTCGAGCAGCAAGCTCACTAAGTCTCTCTTGCTGTCGTCTGGATCCTCGGTCCTTCGGCGCTTCGGCATGTTTCGGAACCAACTCCCAACTCTATTATTTTTTAAAGCTTTTTATTGACTGAAAAGAAAAGGCAAACCGGAGCAAACAAAGGAGGACGATGATAAAGCCTACAAACCCGCCTCAATATAATACTAGGAAATGAAAAAAGGCAGCGAAAGCCGCTACTCCAACCACGCAAAAAAAAGGGGGGCAGTCCTCGGGAAAAAACAAACTTTTATGGGGTGTTGACGAACCCGTCCGTACTGAGGCTTTGGCCGCGCGGGGGACTTGTCCTGCGCGCCGTTAAGTGAAGGTATCAGTTAAGTTTGGGGGACAGCAGTCGGCAGGATTAGGTTTGGTTCTCGCTGTCTTTTCTCTTCTCGCCGGGCGGCCGTTTGGCCTGTGCGACAGTGTCAGGGTCAAGCCTCCTCGACTCTCCTGATTGTCCTCGTACTGATTTTTAACTTAACTTTGAGTAAAGAAGCCCGCAGGGAGGCTTTGGTTCTATGATTTATTAGTGTGACCAGGCCGGGCCCTGACTTCAACTTTCACTAGTAACTATCAATCACTCAACGGTTTCTTTGACTGGATCGAGCCTCGGAGATTCCGGGCCCTGGTCGAACCGTTGAACAGACAAGGCAACAAAGAATTTAAACACATTAGTGCCCGGAATCACAGAAGAATCAGTGGATTCCTACCAGAAAATATCACTGTGACTGCTCAACAAGCCTGATGAGTGAGGACTCGGACATCGGATCGGACTCAGAATTGATCACGAGGGATCATCATGGGAACAACGGTGGAACGTGCCAGACAAATCAAGACTGGCTAGCAACGATTAAAGACGGCAGTACTATAAGCCTGAGAACTCGGAAAGTACAGCCAATCGCAATCCTACCGGCGCGGCCGGCGACCTCCATGTCGGAAGCTGCGGCGGCAACCCGGCCCAAGCCTGAGGATATAAAGGCCCGACACTTTGCTCTCAAACCGTTAATTCAGTCCGATCCTTCCAACCCAGTGGGGTGGTGCTACTACAAGAGGTAAGGGCCTTCCCGGCGGAAAAACTGGCCTCAGTGATGAACCGTGATCAGCGGCTTGAAGGCTCAGGAAGGCCCGGGAACTGGGCCTGAGATCGGACGCGCAGCTCTAAAATTGATTGTCGTCGTACTGATTTTTAACTTAACTTTGAGTAAAGACCGATGAGATGGCGCCTGCCTCCGCTGTGCCGGTACCTGCCATGCGTGGTTTGCTTGTCCTCTTCGCATGCTTCAAGAGACCGGCAAACGTGCAGTTCGCTGATGGGAGGGAGCTGGACGGAAGCTTTTGTGGGGCCTTCGAGGTTGCTAGATCTTTGACACCTTTGACATGTTTGAGCGGAGGATTCCAAACAAGGTCTGCACAAACTTTGCTAGACAACCCTGAGAGTGACCTACGGAATATTGGTAATGTCCGAGAATGTCTCACTCTGCGCGGAGGAGATGAGAGCTCCGAAAAGGGGGTAGAGAAAGAGATCAAGGGGTTACAGAAGGAGATCAAGAGTGTAAAGAAAGAGATCAAGAGTGTAGAGAAAGAGATCAAGAGTGTAGAGAACGATATTCAGGTTGTAGAGAAAGAGATCAAGAGTGTAGGGCAACAGGATCCGAGGAGGCATGCAGAACTTCGTGAAGACAAGGAGCAGCTTCGCAAGAAGGAGGAGCAGCTTCGCAAAGACAAGAAGCAGCTTCGCAAGAAAGAGGAGCAGCTTCGCAAAGACAAGGAGCAGCTTCGACAGCTGCTTTTATTCAGAGAGGGCAGCCTTCAGAAGAGTCCCTTGTCGGGAGCGAGCATTGCTTGGACAGAGTCAGATGCTGGGCTTGATCGCGTCGGCTTGTGCAATGACAAGAAATACTTCCGTGTAGATACCTCTTACTTGATGGTGGTCGGCGATGGGAACAGCCGACAAGAGCGTCTGCTCTATTGCCGAGAAGCCTTCTTGAAGCAGCATACTTTCCTGAGAGAGCGGGTGCTGGACAGGGGTGCCCTTGGGTGGATAATGGGCTCGCCAGGGACAGGAAAGACGACGGCGACGTTATCCTTCTTGTTGATGCTGGACATGAACGAATGGAGTGTGACATTCATCAGGCTGAATGCTGTAGCAGACGGCTTTTGTGTTCAGGTCGCAGGTAGTACGAGACGAACATGCGTAATCGAGAGGATAACTGCCGGGAAGCTGGTGGAGACGTTGCTCAGAGAATGGTCCAACGGCAACAGGCGTTTCGTTGTACTGGATGGGTTCTTAGGACACCAACCAAATCATTGGGAAGCCTTTGATGCATGCAGAAGGTGGCGTGACATCGACAGAAGCAATCGACGGTTGGTGGTGGTGACATCCATGGCTTCTAGGGACAAAATTTACTATCACGAGGATAAGCTGCTGCAGTTGGAAGAGCATCTCGTCGTCTCCTGGACCATTGATGAATACTTGCAGGCAGTGCAGTCAGACGAGTTTTATGAGGAAGTAGAATCCATGTTGGAGATGGATCTGGGTCTGCTGGATCTGAGCAGATTGGGTATCAAGAAGATGCAGTTGGGTAGGTCGAAAGAAGCGCGGGTCAGGCAGAAGCATTACCTCGCTGGTGGGTCGTGTCGGCACATGTTCGAAATGAGCGCGTACGATGTGGTTAAGTTTATCCATCAAGCGTTTCGGAGTGTTCCAGATCTGGAGCTTATCTTCAGGGGCAACATAGGCGCTTCTTCGACGCAGTTGGTCAATCGCTTGATAGCAACTTTCGTGATCGACGGTGAAGTAAGGTGGTTGCCAGCAAGCGAGTATATTTCCTGGAAGCTTATGCACGAAATTGAAGCAGAGGAGTTGAAGAGAGTTTTTTCCAAATACAGCATATCCAATGCGGCAGTGAAGGGATGCTTATTCGAGATGATCTTTTTCAAGGAGGTGCAACGGGGCTTGAGATTGACTTACCGCAGATCACATAACAGACCACGTGAGGCTCGGCCTTGGAAAGGACATAGCGTCGTGTTCTTTGATCCGCTGCAAGGCAATCATTCTCTCCCTCGCACTGCGGTATGCTTTAGGCCGATCAGCGAGCTTCAGGGAGGATACGATGCATTGATCGTAGACAAGAATGCCAAGAAGGCAGTGTTTGTGCAGGTAACCGTGAGAGAGAAGCATGCTCTGAAGCTTTCTTTCTTCCTGGATGCTCTCACGGCCCTCGGCATTCCTCCAGGTCGTGCATGGAAGGTGGAGATCATCTTCCTCATCCCGAATCAGAGGATGCCGGTGTTCCGGATAAGCCCTGTCGAAGACTGTGGGGCGCTGGAGGGATATGGATGGAAGAAAGGCGAGGAGAAGAAGAAGGCGAAGGTTGCGTTTCCACCTTTGAACTGAGGAGGAGTCCAAGCAGAGTAGAGTAATGCTTTGAGATTTCATTGATACAAAAACAGAGAGATACAAGACGACTCATGGAGGGTCCCGGAGGCGCTCTTTCACGCCTCCCACACTGCAAGGATCTTTTCATTTCAGAATGGTGCTGGGCGCTCCGCCAGCCACCACACTTCTTTGATGACATGGCTTGATATAGCAAGGCATCTCGGCGTACAACGAGGAAACACTGCTCAATCCCTCCAAGAGTTTTCTCGTTGCCGCAGTATTCGGGCTAATCCCATCCTTGTCAAATACGTGTGACACGCTGAAATCCAGGATTAACCCGTGCCATCGGCCTAGTGCCAGGAACGCCTTGCAGGTGACGCGGCATCTCACTCCTAACTTAAATCTTTGATCAGTGTACTCCATAACGGGCTGCGGTGCCCAGTGACCGGACCTGGCTCGGAGCAAAGTGAAAGCCTCGCCAAACAAGGAAACGGCAGCCTTGGACGGTCTGTCGGCCTCACTACCTGCGACCTGAACACAAAAGCCGTCTGCTACAGCATTCAGCCTGACAAGAAGGATAACGTCGCCGTCAGTGCCCTCGGTCAAGCACCCGCTCTCTCAGGAAAGTATGCTGCTTCAAGAAGGCTTCTCGGCAATAGAGCAGACGCTCTTGTCGGCTGTTCCCATCGCCGACCACCATCAAGTAAGAGGTATCTACACGGAAGTATTTCTTGTCATTGCACAAGCCGACGCGATCAAGCCCAGCATCTGACTCTGGCTGCTTCTTGTCTTTGCGAAGCTGCTCCTCTTTTGTGCGAAGCTGCTCCTTGTCTTCACGAAGTTCTGCATGCCTCCTCGGATCCTCTACACTCTTGATCTCTTTCTCTACCCGGCCGCCTCAGATTAGGGGCCTTGCGGACCTTAGGAAGCTGTCCCTGTCGTATAACCTGCGACGTTATAATATAAGAAAAAAAGCAATAGAGTCACATATAGTAGCTCTACGTTTATCCTAGTCTGGGTCAAGAGAGTAATTTGATATTTGTTCTGCGCGATGTTCGCTTCTCAGACGCGTTCGTATTTGCCCCCCAGCTATCAATCAACTGAAAATAGCTTGATACAACAACGCTGCTTGTTCAGTTCTTCATTGGATTAGAGGAGCGAGTTTGGCTGTGGGTATGAATGAGGAGGTGAGTGCAGCGCAAGATTAGTAAACTTGACCGTGTTGTGCATTGGATGATCGATTGATCTGGTAACTGATGAGTTGCCACGATGATTGCGGCTTCTTCTTCGTCGGGATACTGCAAGTGTAGCATCACGACTGAAGGAAGGCGTGTTTGTAAATCCGAACAAAACAAGTGAGCACGATTAATGCGGACGCACCCGTGCGCATCAGGCGTTGTTGTAGGCGCATGTTATGCCTTGCAGCCAATTCCATCTTTGCCATCGCCTGGTTGTGACTTGCTCGTTCACTACGAGGAACAAGAAGATCGCGTACACGATTTCTCTACCTCGATCACGCATATTAGGCGCAAGGTATGATGGGATGTGCGTGTATGGCCTGGATCAAATCAATTTCTACTAGGACACGCAGCTCCCAGCGGTCGATGATCTCTGGCTCTATATTGTGCTCCTCGTCTTGTTCATCACAGGGCAAGTGGCAGGCTGACGTAGGCCAAACATTTTGCACACAGATGCGTGACTCTATCATCAAGGCCTCAGGGTGAAGGTTCAAAATGACTCAGCTACGAGGGAAAATTCCTGAGCTGCATGCTGCAATGACGCAGCTATCTCATCCTACCATCGGTACTTGTGACGCAAGTGGGACTCCATTGCCAGTTTTTGAACAGGCAATCGAACAAGAAAACATTCCATCCGCTTGTCTTTTTTGTTTTTACCATCCAAACTCGAGCTCACTCTAAAACAAGCTCTCTTTGATGCGATCTTGAAACAAGCGTGGGCTAGTGTAAATCCCCATGATCACGACAGACGTTGTGAGCAACATATCGTGGCTGCAGGATAGTAAAGGATACCAGTGTTGTTCAAAACGGGGAGACAGGTATCTGAGTCTGATGAAGGACAGGAGGCTGCAAAGCGACCACTCCTGGGGAGGATACCACTGGCGTGAGCACGGGATAGGAGTTAACAGCAATAAGCGGTGGCACTATGGGCCCAAGGGTGTATGGCTTCAATACGATCTTTTCACAGCAACCCAACATCCCGTCAATCCAGTCAATTATTGAATCAGGACAAATCGATCTTGTTCCAGATGTGTTCAGAATGTCGTGGATTGGTCTCTTAAGAGACTCGATGAGACATGGAAGGAGGATCAGGAAAAGAGCGAGCAGGCAGAAGATGATGAAATGCATCCAGCTGATGATGTGGTATGCAGAGCACGCCCAGTGACTGGAGGCAGCCATCAAACCCCCCACCCCCTCCCGCCACAATCAAAACATCCAACACGACATCTAACAACACACCGACGTAGGTACCAAACACTGTACGGTGAGGTGTTCTGTGTGTTCTCGTTGGTATCCATAGAATCGATGTTTGCCCAGGAATAAGCGTAGTCACAGTATAGTGGGAATGCAGACTGGACGAGCGAGAAACCAGCCAGCAAGAAGGGATGCGGTGCACACCTCCACGACACCTTCTACTCTCCGGGGACTGAGCCTGGAGTTCATGTCGCTGAGAGAGTGGGCGAAGACCCCAGAGCGTGAGAGCAAGAAAGCCAGGAGGGGCAGCGCGTTCTCGCCACGGGCAACGGCAGCTGCTGAGCTTGAGCAGGAGGCGGAGAGCGACGACACAGAGCGTCGACCTCTTAGCTTCCTGTTCATAGCACTGAGCAATTCCGCAGAGATGCATGTGCTGGCCTGCTCGCTGAAGGTGGACAAGAAGGACCGACTGCGGCTGGACTCCTAAGATGAGGGAAGATGATGGGTTTAGGGTTTAGGACAAAAAGCGCCGGGTATTCCAGGCATCATGGCTGCACGCGCGGTGTAGGGGAAGCCGCCAGGGCGCGAAGGAAGCTATGATGAAAGTGTTCGCAACATGCCTCGGTCCCCCAAGCCGATTTGGTCGAGAGGGTGAAGAGCTTCACGAAGCGCTTTCCTAACAGTAGGACAGCTCAGGCTTGCAAGGCTGTGGAGGGATGCACCCCCGACGCTATCGCAGAAGCCATCCGCTCGACATGTCAGCCCCGGCGCTCCTATCTGCTGCAGAAACCACTCCCTGGATGCGTCACTCCATCCAGTAATTGTACAGCGCCGGGTATTCCAGGCACAGCGCCGGGTATTCCAGGCCAGATTCCAGGCAAGCCTGGTATTCCAGGCTGAACGCGCGGTAGTTCAAACAGCTTTCTAAAGTATGGTTCTTCAGTATCATAGTATGATGAAAGTGTTGGCAACATGCTGTATCGGAGATCATCATGCCCGGGCCCGGCAATACTATGATACACGCAGGGCGAGCTCGGTGGAGTTGTTCGAGAATCAAAAAATAACGGCAGGTACCCCCACCAACTATTCAAGGATTTAGCACCCCTTTGTTTGACCTACACTCTCTATACCCTCCGCTTTGGAGTTCCCAGGGCACCTCTTGATCATCTCTGACATGACCGGTGCTTGAACCTTCAAAAGTACCCACCATTACTGGTTGTACAGGACCCCATGGACGACACGTACCCCCATTTTCGGACACATTGATCTCCTTTGCCCACCCCTACCCCATTTATGTCGGCGGGCGGATCCCTATGCATGGCGCTGGAGCTGGGAAGCGCCTGAGCGTGGGATGAGCAGAAGAGAGGGCAGGAGACAGGAGAGGAAGGGAGATGTCCAGATGACAGAAAGACAAGATAGTAATGCGAGAAACCAGAGAGCAAGGAAAGGTGAAGGCATGAGGAGAGCAGGCCGAACATGAAGGAACCAGGAAGTTGTGGGGAAGAGAAACGAGCTATGAGATAGAGTGAGACATCAGTTTGAGATAGTGTTGGAAACGATTGATATCTTAAGTGGTTATCACAAGCAACATCAGAATCGGTGGAGATGGTGGCATGTTCAATCTGTTAAGAGAGTTGTTTCAAAGTTGATATCAATGGGCAACACCATCAAACCAGAATGCCGGTGTAAGAAAATGTTGAGCTTTTTCGAAAATGCATAGCGTGATAAGATAGTATCAGAGTTTCTTTCTGATAGACGTGAGAGAGTGCTTATGACAATGTTCTTTGCAAATGTGGGATAACCACATGTACTGATGTCGTTGCACAGTTGGCCATGTCGGACGCAGCATTCGCTAAGCTAACCGATGCTCTGCAAGGGCTAGGTGAAGCCTACTCTACCTTTGGGAAGGTAGTACTGTCTTGTATCCCACGATCCCTTTTTAATTAATGGATTGTGCTAAGGCGTTGGTGACTTTCCAAAAAGAGATCAGACATGAACTGAAGGAAGATAAACGGAAGGCATGCTGAGTTTGGCTATGTGCGTTCTTGACTCTAGTGCAGGTCAAGGGCGACAAGAAGTCGAGGCCGCCATCTGCTTACAACATCTTCATCAAGGAAGAAGGAGAAAAGATCAGAAGCGCGGGGACTTCAGAGTCTCAAACTGAGATCATGAAGCAGCTGGCGGGGCGATGGAAGGGCCTCAGCCCCGCACAGAAAGCCACGTTCGACGCAAAGGCAAAGGAACGTAATCCTGCTGGCGGTAAGCCATGCTGACATACTTTGAGCGTCGCCTGACGGGCAATAGCAGAAGTGAAGGTGAAGCAGGAGCCGAAGGCTGAAGTGACACCAAAGAAGGTGAAAGAGAGCGCTGCCCCGGCAGACAAGTCTTCCAAGAAACACAAGCACGACAGCCATGAAGAGGCGGAGCAGGAATCTACCAAGAAGAAGAAGAAGAAGCACCACGTAATCACATGAGTCTGCTTGTCTTGACTTGTTGGCCCGCATTGACATGCTTGCAGCACGAGGAGACGGAGTACGACCACGAGGACTACGATCATTCAGCAGAGAAGAAGAAGAAGAAGAAGAAGGTGCGACCCTGATTGTTATGCCAGTGTCTTGCCTCTAATATTTGTGTTCGTCTTGTCTCTAATATTTGCTGTTCGTCTTGTCTCTAATATTTGGCCCAGAAACATAGAGAAGAAGATGATTGAACGGATCGGAGAGTGACGGTCTTTGTCATTTTGCTACTCTCTTCTCTGGTTAAAGTTAAGATCTAAACTTTGGACAAATAAGGAAACCTATCGTAATTCTTTCCCTCTACCACGCAAGTAAAGTGCCTCGATGGCTGATCGCAAACTTTGATCAGTATATGCGATGTACCTGAAAAGTCTGTTAGCAAAGTTCAATTTTCGCTTTGATGTACTTGTCTTTGTGTGTCGAGAACGAAGAATTACAGAATTTGGTGACGAAATCTACATAATAAGGCAGAACAAAGTCTGCTGCACCTGAACTCTCACATCACGCACAGCCTCGTGATATTCATCCTCTTACCCTTAGCCAGCATCTGTCGGAAGCCCTCGTCTTCGACATACCACATCTCGTTGTGCAGGATCATCTCAACCTGACAAGCTCGCTCAACAGCTGCTGTTGCATCTCACCCTCACCTCCGCGTTGAACAATGTCAGCGCGTCCTTCACGCTGTGCCTCTCACTCCTTTTCAGTCGCATGTCCTGCCTCGATGTCACCGCAGGGCAGTGGAAGAGTTTCATGAAGTCACCAGCTTCAAGTGGCTTGAGGGGAGATGGACAGCAGACAGAGCAGAGAGAGCTCCTAGCCACGAGTCCTGGACCTGCAGATAGACCAACACGCCATGAGGCTCAGCTGAAGACTTGAACAAGCAAAGTGGGCTCACCAGTTCTTTGCTCTCAAGGTCAATTTTTTTCTGCAGTGCCTGGAAGAACTTCAACGAATGCAACGGAAGGTCGAGTGTTAGTGTCGGACCAGCAGGAATCCAGCAAGTGATTTCTTGACCTGTCCCAAGCAAACATTCAAACGACACGCAACTATCGGCACGAAAGTGAAAGTCCAAGAAAGGGCAAGTCACCTCTGGTTCCTTTTGTAGCCTTTTGATAAAGTGATAGTGATTGTTCAACGAAAATATCTGATGCAAAACGAAGGAAACATCAATTAGAAGATAAACTCAAGTCCTCGGACAACCAGAGCTGCCTTGGAGTCGTTCAGATACTTCGCCTTTGCTTGTAAGTTTGTCTGCACAAAACATCCAATTAATTTCATGTAATCCTTGGTATGTACCAACCTCCCAGGCATCACACAGGTTGACAAGCCATTCACTCAGCAGGTTAGGCAAGTGCATCTTCTTGTCACACTCTTTGATGGACGGGTAGATGGACTTGTACTTCTCCTCGAGGATAACAAACTGCTTCATTTCCCCTCCAAGCAGCCTGGTGATCTCAGATACGGAGCAGTCCAACACCTTCGTCCGATGCTTCGACTTGTCTGTCGCCGCCCGCTGCTCCAATCGCATCACGTCGTGACTCTGCACTATGGCAGGCAGCTGAGCAAGGGTGACGCTGCATGCGCTGCAGATGTCAGGTACAAGTCCGTCGATGTCGCCTACTAGAGTGGTTTCGCTTGGAAGGTATCGAAAGAGCTTGATGAGCTCCGATCTGACTTCAGCATACCGATCGTACAAGTCCATGCAAGAGATTGTCCAGCTGCATGCATGTTGTGCAGACACGTCAGGCGACATAAGGTCCTTGGATTTCGATTTGAGATTGTCCTTCATCACTCGACAAAATTCTGGAATCAGTTTGCAACAGAAGCTGTCGAAGATTTTGACCATCTCGTAGTCAACCTCAGCATCTTTTTCCAAGCTCTCTGTCTCTGTTTGGCTTTCAGATTCCAAATCTTTGGAAAGCACATGTCCAAAGATCTTCTTCTCGAAATTGAGTAAGGTGATGAGAGTATCAGGAAGCTTTGAGATTACAGAAGAAGGATCACGATGGGAGTAGTTGGCGAGTTCACGATCATTCATAGCTTTCTCTTGCCTTTCGAGTCGCTTGTAGAAGGCAAGGGACGTTTCTATTCGCAGACGCAGAAGCACTTGGGGCATTCTATCCTGTCCTATCTTGATCAGAGCCATTCGAAGCTTCCTCAGCTCCCGTACAGTTTGCAAAAGTTGTGACTGGTCTGCTTTCTCTGATTTATCTCTTTGACGAAAATCTTGTCCAACATCGATGGGCACGTTGTCAACTAGACGACTTACTTCACTCACGATAGATTCAACCGCCATATTCAAAGTTTGTTCTGTGACTTGAACAATGCCATTACTTCTGGAAAGCGCAGGACTGCTCTTGAGGAAGGCCCTGCAAGCATTGAGTTCTTCCAGATACGAGTAGAACTTCTCCCAATCCTTGTTTGCTTTGCCCAGCACCTCTCCTATCTTAATCACTGACTTGAGCTTATCACACATGTCTTCCAGTCGCTCGATCGCCGTCCCTGCGTTCTGGTGTAACTCATACAAGGTTCTGGTCTGCTCATGCACTGGCAACACATCTTGCTCAAGAGCATCAACGCTCCGTGTCAACCTGTGTATGGCCAGTCGAGAAGACCTTGCCAGCTGTTCTGTTCGCTTCAGGATGTCTCGGTGGCTTACTGCCATCATATTTCTTTTAGACTAGCTGATGCCAAAGTCGCTAAGACCCCACTGAGGCAAAGCTTTCATGAGAGCAAAGAAGCCACTATCTCTTGTGTATTGGCTTCAGCATCTGCAAAGGTATCCTTCATTTTCTTCCGGGAAAGAATTACAGTGAATCGAACAAAAAGTAATATTTGATGAAGCAAACTGCATTGTAACAGAAGGCACACTACATACAGACCCCTTCATAGGCGTGAAGACAACAGCTACGAGATTGAAACCCTAAATGCCCTTACTTGCGCTCACTATTCATGCTAAGAAATCTCAACCTTCGTTTCCGTTTTGACTTCAGATACCTTTCCCCTTTCTCCTTGTTCTCACCTTGTCTCTTTGCAACTCATCCTCGCAACGTATCTTGGAATCATCATCTCACTCTTCTGCCTACATGTGTAGTTTTGTTGTTTTCTCAGTCTCCAAAAACTTGTTCTCACTTCGCTTTTACCACAAGCTTGTTGTTTACCTGCATGGTAGCTTCCATGACCGTTACAGACCGTTATTTTGTTCAATTTTCCTCCAATTGAAAATTTGAAATCTTCATACATTTCTCCGATTAAAATTCAATTTTTGAAACTTTTTGGTGCAAGTTGAAAATGACGAAACGGGACAGAACCTTGACCGATGCCGGACGAACTTCATGGAGGACTATAACAGGAGAGCCGAATGGTGATGTCAGACGAAAGAAGTGAGATGGAGGACTCGGAAGAAGGGGAGACAGTGTGAGCACAAGAACGACAACCTCAAGAGACGATAGGACAGAGAAAGAGAACAAACATGAGATCGCGATGCAAGGCATGCTGGAGCAGCAGCATATGCAAGCACGGGATTATCGTTGAGCAAGCAAAGGTTTGATCGTCTGGCGTACACGCACAAGAATTTCTCTTCTTCGGCATGATTGAGGAGGAGTGATCATGTTGCTACACCAGCCTTGTTGCTTCTTCTGGTTCAGTTGGAATGATGATGCATCAGACGAGGTGGAAATGAGGTCGCTGACTGACTCATTCTCCGACCGATGATCAAGCGGCGATCCCCGAGCAATAACAGTGTCATCAGACATGAGCTGTTATCAAACTTTCTCATTCCTGAGATACAGAATTGATTGACCATGACAATTCCTTCACACGGATATTGATTTTTACGAAAGCTAGTTGGGTAAGTGATCAAGATGAATCGAAGGGAACTGAGGCGTTGGATACCATCAGCTGCCTGCGATGCTTGATGGTCTTGATGGGTGGAGGTTATATACAAGGTGACAAGGAATCTTCGTGAATACCTTGATTGTTGAACAGACATTTCCAGCGGGCTCAAGCATATATGTCTGAATGACTATGTCGAATTGGTTCGAATAAATCATTCTCCGATCCTGAAAGTTGTGTGGCAACGATGAAACATAATAGAATGTTCAAGGTCTTTACCTTTCATCACAAGATATCTCATGTAAAAATTTCTGACGTGAATATGCATGAAATTTCGGCATCAATTCGCACACAGATAACATGACAGCGAACATGAGCGCTCTTGCAGACGATATATTCCAGGCTACAGAGCATTTACGATGAGGTCATATGTCGCATGTCATTGCTGCTACCTCACAAGACTACCTTCGCTAAGCAAAGAATGAATACCTTGAGGATTAGGTTGTTGCTCGTGCTTGCAAAGAATGTTGTTGTTTGTTTGATGATGCAGTGAACCTGCAATCCGCCTAGAACAAACGAGTATTTGCTCTGTTGCATCTGCTCATCGTTTCGTTGCTACCTAGACACACAGCTCGGTTGAGTTTTGTCAAGAGGAGCATGGTAGAGATGTCTAGCCTTACCGTCCCATACACTGTTTGCTCTAATAAGATGTCGAGTGGGGATCTTGGCAGGGGCTCAGATATGAGTTAAAGAATCGAGCATACTCATCATTTTCACATAGGCAGAAGCAGCACTGACGGTCTGCATCACTGGGATCATTGCCTTGATTTCATTAGATCTACTGTAACATCTAATTATGTCAACTGACGGACAAAGGCTCAAGGCCCTGCCGTTAACATAGCGTCAAAGTCCTCTGAGACTCGTTCAAACCGACATGTGCAGATGAAGCTCTCTCTCCTTCATCTCTCAACACGACACATCAACAGTCCAGCTAGTTACAATCTTCATCAGACTTTTTCTTCCGCTCCGGTGGGGACGTCCAACTCCTGAAGGGGAGACAGGGCGCTGACTTGAATAGCCCTTGGCCTCAGACCTGGAGTAACAGGGGGCGTGGACGCCAGCGATCTGACAGCATTGATGGGCATCAGCAGGGGAGTTGCCGCTGATACAGGCAAGTTCCTCGTGATGAAATCCTCGATAGCTCGGAGCATTCGACCCCCTGACGCCTTGGTCTTCCTCACTTGCATCCGCTCACGGAGAATATTCATGAGCTTGGAATCGATCTGATCCTCCCCGTGAGCCCATTCCTTGCTCGCTCTGTCAGACAGTCGGTCAGAGGAACAAACAGAGGCAGGGGAGGAAGCATACCCTGAGCTGCTGGGACAACACTGGCTCAGCAGTGGACCGTCGCAGAACTCCAAGAAGGCGTCGCTGACAGCCCCAGCATCGCTGCAGGGAGGGACCAGAGTGAAAGCAGCATCGTCCGGCGTGACTGACGCGACCAGCGCGACCCTCGTCGAGCTCACAAACTCGTGCAGAGCAATGGCGTCCAACAGAGTGAAGGCCTCGGCCCATCTGACATCCTTCATGAGGACGATGTAGCGTATTCTATGGACAAGAGGACGAGAGGAGAGATGCTCCTGGATGGACTCCAAGAGCGCAAGCGCCTGCATGTCGTCGGGAGGGCCAAGACGATGACCCGAAGACCATCCATGTCGTCCATGACAGCAAACAGCTCCTTGCACTTCTCGAGGTAGTCTGAGCTACTCCTTCGCGACTTCTCGTCGATCGACGACAATGTTTCATGTTGCACTTGCACCCCATGAGTGAGATGGGACTGCAAGTTGATGATAGCGTCTCCCTTGGGGCTCAGCGTGGCGACAGTATCAGCATTCAGCTGTTCGTGCTTGGAGGAGTCGCCGTCTCTTGGTTTGAATGCGTCCGCGTTGACTGTTGCGATCGATGCTTCCACAGTCAGGGCGAAATTGACGAAATCGTCCAGCGGGTTGCTACTTGATGAGGTGACGGAGCTGCTCATTTTGACTGGTAGAGCTCTGAAGGATTGTTCCATGGGAACAGCTGGGAAGACAGGAGGATCAAAACCACTGCGGAGGGCGTGGTTGATTTCATCTTTTCTTGTTTCTTCCTGCACTAATGATCAGAAAAAGCTAACATGAAGATCAAATTCAAGAGCCTCTTACCGCCCATTCGCAGATCCCTTTGTTGACTTCTTCAACTTCGTCTTCACTAGAAGCCAACATAACAACGCCCCAGCTCTTGCGCAGCAGATTCATTGAAAGAGCCTTAGACGAAGGAGTGCATCCGAGAATCAGAGCCTTGTATTTATCTGCTGTGTGCACGGCATGCGGATCAGCTTCAGCCTCCTCGTGGGCCTCATTTCCGGTTGCTTTCCCTGCTTCTCCAGACCATCGAAATGCAAGCTTACAGAGCACAGCTCCGGCCAACTGATTGATAACGACCACGGAAATAATCACCGCTTGAAACTTTCTGCCCCAACCTTCGAACTTCTCTGCGATCTCAGAGGCGATTCCAAGTTCAAACCCAGCTTGCGATATCAGCGTCATCCATATGGTGAGATTTATGGCCTTGGATTGTCCCACAAGCCAGCCAGAAGAAGACGTCGCTGCGAAGATACACATCGCTCGTACAATCGAGACAACCAGCGCAAAGCCGATGGACGCTACAAACGTCTTGAGGTCCAGACTGGCACCGACGAGGGTGAAGAAAGGTACAAAGATGTAAGGTGCAGCTACTTGAAGAGCGTGGCAGAAACGATGATGAAAGGAGCTGAAGTTGACGCAAATGAAACCTCCGACGATGCACATCAAGAGAGGTTCAAGATGCATCTTCTTCTCTTCCGGCACGAGCTCTGAGATTTCAGTTGTGAAGATGCTGCTTCCAAGAAAGACCAAAAAGCCCAGAGGAAAGATCAGAGCGTTCATCTCAAATCTGCTGAACATCATCAAGCCCATAAACAAGTAGCCAATGATAATCCCGATCAATATCGAAACCACGATCATCGCTATCACTATACCCAAAGAAGCACCTTGAAATGGCATTCCCTTGCACGAGGAAGTTCCCAATGACGTGGTGATAGAAACACTGATCAAAACGAAAACGTCTGACAGTACCGTGATGCCTAACATGGTAGAGGTCAATCTGCCCTTACAACGCATCTCTTTGATGATGGCAATTGCTGTTGCCGGACTCCTTGCAATGCAGATTGATGCCAAGATGGTAGCCACAGCCCATCTGCACTCAGAGGGGTAAGGATTGATCCATGCAAGAAGAGACGTGCTGGAAAGAAGTCCAACCAAGACGGTTTCAATCGCGAACGTGATGATAGAAATTGCTATCGTTTGTACGAGCAAAGCCTTGATCAATGGCTTCAGCTCCTGAATGTGAAGTTCTGCTCCTGCTGATGTTGTGATGTAGGCAAGGGCAACCATATTGATGTAGTGAAGGTCCTTGACGTCCGGCTCCTTCACAATCTCTAACAAGTATGGGCCTGCGATCATACCTGTCACGAGGTATGCTGTAATGAGAGGAAAACCAATGCGAGGAAAGTAAGGGCCCACGAGCTTTGCTGCCAGCGAAACGACGAGGAAGGTAAACCATGCCTTGGCTATTTCTGCTCCTGGACGTCCCGATGTCGATAACCCACCCGCCATTGCGAGTGTGGCAGAGGTTTGTTGTTTGTCCTCGCGATCAGCCTGCTCAAATACCTTGCTTGGTGTTCCTCCTGAAAATTCCCCTCCCTGTTACCACCCCACCCATTCCATGCCCCCTATGGAGTCATGGCCTATGCCTTTCTAGGACCTGGTAAGAAGAGCTGGAGGAAATAGGGGTAGGGATGGGGTGTAAACTCCCTGGTGGAGGAATCAGGCTACTGGAGGAGTCACATGGGGAGGTGAGATGGGAGGAGTCAAAGATGGGTCAGGGTGGGGGTATGAAAGGGATGAAGGGGGGGTGGTTTTCGGAGGGGAGGAGTAAACGGAGAATGGGGTACAAGGGATGGAGGAAAGAACTTCTGACTAGGTGATTTTATAGCCCCCACTAGTCATCATTACCGCCGCAGACAGTCACTCCTGTCCTTTACTCAAAGTTGAGTTAAAGATCAGTACTAGCGAGTAGTCACTCTCTCTACTCTCAAGTTCAACGGTCCCCCGCACTGCAACTCGCGGTCTCTGACAGCCTGCCGGTCACGACGTCGCGGCGTCGGGCCAATTCCCGCATTCGGAAGTTCCGAGAAGTTCCGAATGATTCCGGGAATGTTGGCCGGGCCGCGGCGCGGCTGCGGGGCCCCGCGGACTCCGGGACACCGTCACAGGCTGTGGGTGGCGCTCCGACTCAGACTCGGCGGTTTCAAATTTGATCGATGATTTCAAAGTAATAGGAGACCATTTGATTTTTTTCATTATCATTCTTAGATCTCGAAATGAACCATGGGTATTCAAATTTTGTTGCAAATGTTCAATTTTTGATGGAAAGCCATTGGCAATCTCTCAAAACGATGAGAAGGAATGTCGTGGCACGAGCATATAAATATGGCACGGAGGACAAGCAAGAAGTGAGGAGGAGTAGTAGGAGTAGGAGGAGTTAGGTATATGAAGTGCTTCCACTTGACAAGAGTGCGGCTACAGGACTTAGGGCATTACAACGAATCGCAGCTAGCTCTGTAGCAAATCACCCAAGAGCGAGGAATTGAGTCCTTAAACGTTTGTGCTAGGTCAAAGACGATTCCTTTGATAACGTTTCGAAGTGTTCTTGTGCAGTTTGTGCACGGTCTCACCAGTATTTGAAGGTTTACACAGCCATGGGTGATACTGACGTCGCGGCGATGGAGGCTGCAGTGAAGCAGCAGGGTGAGAAGGTGAGGAGCATGAAAGAAGCGAACAAGGCAAACCCCGGAAGTCACTCCAAGGAAGAGCTTGATGCAGAAGTTGCCAAGCTTATGGAGCTGAAATCAAAGCTCCCTGCCCCTGCGAAGACCGAGAAGCCCAAGGAAGCCAAGGCAAAACCTGAACAGGAAGAAGCTGCGGAATTTCTTGTTGACGGCAAACCAGTGTTTGATGACGAGGGAAATCGCATCACCAGCAAAGGAGCTTATAAGAAATATCTGACCAAGAAGGAGAAAGACGCCAAGCGAGCTGAATACAAGGCTGCTGAAAAGAAGGAGACCAGCAACCAGGCTTCAGGCGAAGCAGAAGATTTTTCGAAGATGGAGCCTGTATCATTCTTGAAGGATGAGCCTGAGAAGAAGTATGGTTACCTTATGAGGACCATGTCGGATCAGAACACAGGTCGCTCATTCGTGCACGTCAGCAATCTCAGCGCCAAGCACGAGGGGAAGGAAGTTTGGGTACGCGCTCGCGTTCACAACACGAGGGCGAAGGGGAACAACTGCTTCCTTGTTCTCCGTCAGAGCGGGTCAACAGTCCAAGGAGCCTTGTTTAAGAACGACGATACTCCTAAGGAGATGATCAAGTTCGCGGGTTCGCTAGCCAAGGAGACCGTGGTGGATATCAAAGGGTTGATTGTCAAGGCCGAGGTCAAGTCCTGCACCCAAACTGACTGCGAGCTCTCCGTGCAGCGACTGTACGTCGTTGCCAAGGCCGAGGTTGGATTGCCTCTTCAGATAGATGATGCCAGCAGGTCTGAGGCAGAAATCGCTGAGTCAGAGCGCAAGTTGGCGGCTGGGGAGGTCGATGGTGCCTACGTTCGTGTTGGTACCGACACAAGGTTGGATAACAGAGTAATCGACATGCGCGTCCCTGCTCAGAACGCAATTTTCCGCATCAGCTCTGCAGTTTGCCATTACTTCCGCACAGCGCTGTTGGAGAAGGGCTTCGTGGAGATCCACACTCCTAAGATCATCGCTGGGGCTTCAGAGGGAGGTGCTGAAGTGTTCCGCCTCAAGTACATGGAGAACACAAGGTTTGAGCAGCCTGGATGCCTGGCACAGTCACCTCAGCTGTACAAACAAATGTGTATCATGGGAGACCTGGAGAGAGTGTTCGAAGTCGGCCCTGTTTTCCGCGCCGAGAACAGCCACACCGGTCGCCACTTGACTGAGTTCACGGGGCTCGATTTCGAGATGGAGATCAAGGAGTCGTACAGGGAGGCTCTTGAAGTGACGGATGAATTCATGGTGAAGATCTTCGAAGGTATCAAGAAGAATTTCCAGCATGAACTCAAGATCATCAGCCAGCAGTATCCCTTCGAGCCCATGTCTTACAACGTCGGACCTAACCTCAGGCTCATGTACCCCGAAGGCATTGCCATGCTGCGTGAGGCAGGTGTGAAGAACGAGGATGGCTCAGAGCTGTCGGACTTCCAGGACATCAGTACAGTGCAGGAGCGCAAGCTTGGAGAGATGGTGAAGAACAAGTATGGCACAGACTTTTACGTACTCGAAAAGTTCCCCATGGAAGTTCGTCCCTTCTACACGATGCCGTGCAAGGATGATCCGAGATACAGCAACTCCTACGATGTCTTCATGCGTGGTCAAGAGATCATGTCTGGTGCGCAACGCGTGCACGACGTTGAACTACTCGTCGAGCAGTGCAAGGCCAAGGGAGTGGACCCTGTTCAGGTGAGTCACAAGCATGAGCGTGGTTGAGGCTAATCCATGATGCAGTTGAAGCACTACGTGGATGCCTTCCGCTTTGGAGCCTTTCCGCATGCAGGAGGAGGGATTGGCTTGGAGGTAACACGTGCATGTATGACCTGCGCCTGTAACGCTGTCGCGTCTCAACAGAGAGTTGTCATGCTTTACCTCGGACTGGACAACGTGAGGAAAACTTCGCTGTTCCCCCGTGACCCCACACGTCTCACGCCTTAAGAGGATGCTGTAGCATGCTTCTGCTTATTCATTGAATGCTCTTGCGCCAGTTGTTTCAGTAGACTCGCAGTAGCAACACGCTTGATTCTGGTTCCTTGCTTGTAACCTTTCTACCAAAATCGCAAACTCCATGAACCCGGTGGGTGGGGTCATAACCCCTACCTAGATGATGGCAGAGATAATTGGGGGTACAGTCAAGACAGTGGTAGGGTAGGGAGTAAAACTTGGCTCGAAATGCACGTGAAAAGGAAATCGTGACAACGAAAGGGAAGCGGCGTTGAGGAGTAGAGAGCAGCAGAAGGAGGAAGAAAGGGATAGTCAGACAGGTCAAACAGAGTGAACAGCAAAGATCAAGGCGGAGAGGATAGGAAGGAAGATGACATGAAGGACAGAGAGAGTTGAAGAGCGATGAGAGATGATTGTTCATCAAACATCCTCCCGAGTGAAAGATCTAACTCTGCTACAGGTTGGTCTTAACCTGCTCCCTAGCTATCTCCATTGGCGAGTGCACGATGCCGCCAAGGCTACCGAAACGCTTCAACAGCACGCAGAGCGTGCGAGACAGCATTGCAGCTGCTCCCACGTTCAAGTCATTCTCTGACAGAGCGCTGGACATGCACGACAAAGCCGAGAAACGACGACATGCCGACCCTGAAGCAGCATGCACCATGCTGCGACAGGCGATCCAGTTCTACCATCAAGCGTTGGAAAAGGAGCCGGAGGATCAGAAGTCGATCGAGCTCCGGTTCAACCTCGGGGTAGCGTATGACGCGCTGGCATCGACCTTGAGAGACGCGGGGACAAGAAACGCGGCAGAGCAGATAGAGGAGGCGCTGTCAACGTCTTCTAGCATCTACAGCGAGATCCTGCAGATGGACGAGAACCATTGCGAGGCTCTGAACAATTGGGGAGCTGTGCTGCACTCCTTAGCTGAGACGAGGAAGCGAGACGAGGCTCTCGTCCTCCTTGCTGAGGCTTCTAACAAGCTCGAGATCGCCTGCTCGCTCTCCCCCGGCGACTTCGAGGCCTCCAACAACCTTGCGGACGTGCTCTCGTCTCAGGCGGAACTTTTGTCCAAGGACGTAGCAGGGAATGTGGTTCTGTCACCGGAGTCAGAGAGCATCTGGGCAAGAGCGTACAAACAGTTTGAGACGTCGATGACGATGATGCAATATGACTACGACAGGGTCAACTGCCTTTGCAACTGGGCAAACTCCTTGTCAAGAAATGCGGAACTGAAACAGACGGTGGGAGACAAGCAGGGAGCGTTTGTATTGTTCCAAATAGCCGCCGCCAAATTGACAGAGATGGTGGAGAAGCAGCATTACGAGCCTGACGGCTACGTTGTGCTCGCCGAGGCGCAGAAATCTGCGACTGAGAACGCGCCGGATGTTCAAACACAAGAGGTTGGGTACTCAGCGGTACTTCATGACGTTGATGACGATTATGGGATGAAATGACTGTCTTGGTAGGTCTGCAACTCATACAGAGAAGCTCTCAAGATCAACGGAACTCACCCGGAGGCCCTCGCTGGCCTTGGAGAAACCTTGTTGGATGTAGGAAGGTGATTTTGACTGAGCTGGTCTTCTTTCTTCCATGTTCTTGCCTCCCTCCCCTCCCCCTCCCTTGGCTCTTGCATTTTTTCTCAATTCGAGCTCCTTGCTAGTTGTCAGATCAAATTCCCACTCCTCAACCTGCTTTCATTTGAAGAGCAGATAGATTCTCTAAGCTGACGTTGTTGTCTTTCAAGGTTATTCCTTCAACAAGGAAGAAGCGAGGAGGCCATGAGTGCACTTACTTCAGCCGGAGAGTTTGTTTCGCAGTTCTTGCAGCAGAAAGAGAGAGACGAAGTTGCTCTGTATAACATGTCTTGTATCTGTAGTCTTGTCGGACGCGAAGAGGAGTGTCGAATGTGAAAAGCTATGATGTTTTCTTCATTCACGTTTAAGATGTCGTCACAGGTACCTTGAAAGATGTGCATCTGTTGAGTATTTCAACGGAAGTAACATGGTGAGTATCTCATACCTGAGTATTCCTTGGGCTTTCTTGAACTTTGCTTGTGACGGCGATTGGCAGCAAAAGTGGGCGACCGACTTGAGTGCTGATGAAGATTTCGCGGGAATGCTGTCAAGGCCATGGCTGCAGGTGGGATGGTGATACTGGTGGAGGGGTGTTGTTGTTGGTGGCTGTGGTGGTGTTGATGATGATTAGGAGGAGGAGGAGGAGGAGGAGGAGGAGGAGGAGGAGGAGGAGGAGGAGGGGGGGGGG